CTACGGGCGTTACAACCTTGCCCGAAACCATTTCTTATACACCAGTCCAGTTTTCGGTCCTACAAAATCTCATAATCGGTTCTCGGGTTTTCCAGGTCCGGGTTTGGACCCACTCTCATCACTAGGTTCGCCTGAGTATCTTGGCCCATCACACAAAGCAAGGATCGCCCTCCACTTATGTCAACATATATAATAAACAGACAAACAAATAATCCAACAACATGTGCAACTGTTTAAACCAGTCTACCTGTCTAACAAATCACTACAACATGTTTACATAATATAGGTGACTCATATCACACTCTACGATACAACCGACAGATCACCAAATGAACGCATAGGTGTATGTAATCAGGGATAAGATAAACAATCGAATAAATGATCTCACTCTAAAGCCACAACCTATGACAATTGGGGAGTTCATGTCATCAACCGTCATTAGAGATTAGCATCGAAAAACGATGATAATAGAGCTTTTCATATTTCAAGAAAAATATGACCAATCATATAATAGGGTCAAAATGAGTAACCAAAAAGTTACACCACTTTTTTATAATGGTCACTGTACTTGGAAAGTATACAACAAAGTGGTCTCAATGATATAAATGTTGTAAAAATCTAACTCCGATTGAAGGACATGATTTTTTAAAAAAGTAAACATCAACCGTGTTAATAACGCTATTAACGTCAAAATGGTATAAAGAAATCAGTTGAGTTTTGATCAACGTCACAAAAAGGAAAACCGTAGTAGTCAAAGAGATAAGAACTTTAAAATGAAAAATGTCAAAAATGAAGTTTATATGAAGAAAATACGATTTTTAGAAAAATATAAAATACGGGATAAAAAGAAAAGTTAAAATTTGGCAATGTAGCCTTAATGAAAGTACTAGTAGAGAGATACACAAATATATAAAGAGGGTAAGAAACAAGATTCATATAAGGAATATATGAATTTTTATAAAAGATTTAGAGGTGCACGCCAAGTGCGTGCCATGCTCTACGCGCACGTCTAACACCCAGATTCGTCAAGACAAGAGAGACATGGACCATAAGAAGTGTGACATGTGGCGAACTCTGATGAAGCCACGATTCGAATGCATGTCGCGCGTGAAGTGCATCGCGCGCATAATCACTATAATTAAAGGTGCTCCCAATGGCCTAAAACTTCGGGTGCAGTAACATGGATGCTTCAGATTAAACTACTAGAGTGAGTTCACGACCCCATTTCACTGTTTTAAAAGTTTTACCTGTAGGGAGGGGGATAAATGCTTATCAAACTAATTTATCAAAATATATTTATATTTATAAATATCAATCTTTATATAAATCATGAAACCTTAGGATAATGTAGCTATATATACTATACATAGTTGTAAACTATGATATTATGCTTAAGAGTTATCATGTTCGATAATCTTGGAAGAGATATTACCTAGATGTTATAATAGCCAATTTCCTAGGATAACATAATACCTAGAAGTATTACTGGTCAAATATAGGGATATGCACTATACCTAATCGTTACTCTCCCTAAATATCCAGTTTTCAAATTAACCATAATTATGGTGTGTGTGTATATATATATATACACACACATATTAATGTATGTATGTATGTATACACACACATACTAGATAATTATGACATCTAAAAGGTATAATTATCAAATATAAAAGTAAAAGGGTTTATATTGTGACAATTACAGTAAATCACTAAGAAAGAAGAATAAAAAATAAAATACCTAAGGTTAATGTGTTAGTGAGCTGTTATTATTCATCCTTAGCATGATTAAATTCATCTACCCCAAACTTGTAATCGTTAATATTACGAGAGTTAGATAGATATGTATAGATCTATATGGGTTTTGACATCCCCACCTGCGATTGATAACTACAATCCCGACATGATAACTTTGTAATTACTCACTATTCGACATCTAATGAAGCGTCGTGCGGGGATATTACTAGTCAGACAACGTCAATTATGGGGGCTCATGGTAATACATTACAACCACCTTATAGATCTAACTACCAAGAGGGACACCTTAGAGTGGTAGATAAAATACATTAGGATTAATAAAATATCTTAAAAGACAATAAGATAGAATTGGTAAGTATCATACAAAGATAGTAAATTAGGATTGGTAAAGTATCCTCTTATTCAAATCTCATATTGGTATCATTGAACCTCTTGAAAAAATCCGTAGAAAATTCCTTTGGGTTGGGGGTGAAGACAAGTCAAAAATCCATTGGGTTTCATGTTTGAAAGTTATAACTTCAAAAAAGATATTGGTTTGGGAGTGGGATCCTTAAAATCTCAAAACCTTGCCCTCCTCACTAAATGGTGGTGAAAGCTCAAAATGGACCGAGACTCCATTTGGAGAAATGTGATCTATAGCATTTATAACCTTAAGATCAAGTCGACATACCATGTTGCTAATAAATCCATATGTGGTGTATGGAATAATGTGGTTATAGTTTTCCATAGTTTAAGCGATTTTGGTTCATGTCTCCCTGATATATTTCCTTTGGCAGAATTTTGTATATGCCCTTACTAAACATCTAAATATCGTATTTGTCCACTCTAAACTCTAAATATCATATTTGCAATTCTTAATGTTTATTAATATCATATATACCCAAATTTAATTTTTTTAATAATTTTTAACATTTAATAATCTTTTTTTATAGTTTTAAATAATTAAAATTAAAACAAAAATAAATTGACCATAATGCCCTTTAATCTTAATTCCCTTCTCGACACATCAATTGTATTTCTCCCAACCCCTAAATCCCAATACTTTACACATCACTTTCGATCGCAAGTTTCCCCTGTGTTTACAAACATTCATCTTCTATTATTGAAGAATTCCACATTTGGGTTTTCTCCAATTGCACGTAATTTCGATTAATTAACTGGTTCATCATCTTTGCGTGTACACATACATAACTATCTTCTTCTCGCATTATCTTGATTCTTCCCTTTGAACATTCAATAACGATTGTTGGGTTGATAGAAAATGGCAAAAAGTGTGTCGTTGAATCGAGTTATGACAAGCAAAGGGTTGATGAATCAATAACAAAAGAATAAGGAAAGGGGAAGAAATTATGGAAGAAGATGAAGTATCAGCTGGTTAAATACCACTCGTTGCTTGCGTAGATGAAATTGAAAAAAAAAACAAATGGATTCTTTCAATAGAGGTTTGTGTGATGTTATTGACTGTTGGGAATTCCATTTCAGATTACAGAGATTTGTGTGATGTTATTTACTAGTAATGTTGCAATAGGAGGGGGCTTGTATGGGTTATGACATGAACAAGCTTTTATAACTACATAATTATACAGCGTGAGATGAGGTTGAGGTTTTCTGCATCTGAAATAACTTCACAGCTTTCAAGAGCATCTATGGTGTCTGATTAGGTAGTGAACACTTATTGGAGGAAGGTCTTTGTTTATGTGATTAGGTTTTCATCTCCATAATCATCTGTTATGTGGAGGTAGTCTGAAGCATATTGAAGGCTGATAACATTCTAGGAAATGAGTTCTAGCTTTATACTGTAACAAAATAAGTTCAAATGATTTACATCCACCAAGTATGTGATGTGCTGCGATGGGAGGTATTAATAAGAACGAAAACTAAAGATAGGGAAGTAGGCATATTGGAATTTAGAACTAAGGGCATTATTGTCCATTTATAATGTTTTTTTAATTATAATGATTTAAGATAATGAAAAAGAATTATAAACCAATAAAAATTATTCAAAAAATAGATTTGGGTATATATGATATTAAAAAACATTAAGAATGGCAAATACGATATTGGAGTTTAGACCAGACAAATACGATATTTAGATGTTTAGTAAGAGCATATCCGAAATTCTGCCATTTCCTTTAGTCTAGGCTAATGGAAATAAATTTCTTTTATGGAAAGACCCGTGGTTGGATTCTATTTCTCTATAGCAAAAGTTCATGCATCTATACGCCTTAGAGAATGTAAAAAGATGTTGTATTGTTGATCGTTGTTCCATTTATGGGCATACGTGGTCTTGGGCTCGAAATCCTAGCCCCCAAGAAGAAATCGATGAACTCTTTAGTCTCTACTCCATTCTTGGTTCCTTACAATTGGGCACTAATTCTGATGGAAATAGCTTCAATCTATCTAGTGATGGTATCTTTTCAATGGAAGTTTTAAGGCTATCTAGATTCTAAACTCTCTTCCAACTTTGGTATTTCAATCACGTGGACTAATATGGTGCCTCTTGAAGTCTTATGTTTTGTATGGAAAGCAATGATGGATAAATTACCCGTTGTTGATAACTTGATACATAAGGGTGTAGTTATCTCTTCTATTATATGCCGACTATGTGGTGTTAATGATGAAAGTGGGGAATATCTTATTCTTAATTGCAATATAGCGGTTGCTATCAGAGAACGGATTCGTAAATGATGTAATATTCTCTCCCATCAATTCTCTGATGTCACTGAACTTATAAATTTCATTGTTCAATGGGATAATTATCAAAATAAAAAGATGTGACTTATGAACATATTTTATTGTCTGATTGACAAGCAAGAAATAACAAGATTTTCAACAAAATACCAACACAACTGGAATCACAAAAAATATAATATCCTTGTCCTATAGTTGGGTTAAATATAAGGTTAAGATGACAAATTATTCATGGGGTGATCGGGTTAAAATGTATTTATTATTTTTAGTCCTCGTTGCTAGTTCGTTGGTATATTTTTAATATATTTTGACCGTTTTTAAAAAAATAAAACTAAAAATGCAATTAAAAATAAATAAAAATAAAATACAAGTTTGTTTGACTCATGTACCGCCTACCCCTACCCCTACCATATCCCGAGGCCACCTATATTAGCCGTCACTATCTATGCAGACAATCATACCTAGCCGACTAAAAACCCAAACCATTCATATTTACAAACAAAACTTTAATTCATAAGATTTGGGAGAACAACATCGCGATTGATTACGAAATGGAGTCCACGACTTTATCATCTTCTTCTTCTTCTACCAGTCATGATGATCAACATCCACATCCTGATGATCATGTGACTCAATCGGCAGCTGAGGATTCCTTTGGTTTCGAGCATCTTCAAATTAATGCTTACGGTGGTTCTCATACGCAACAGTTGATACCGGAGTCTGCGGAAATTGATGACGAGGATCTACAAGAAGAAGAAGAAGAAGACGATGATGATGAGGCGGAGGAAGGTGATTTTACGTTTATGTGCATAGGTGATAACGATTCAGCGATTACCGAGGACGTTGAAGGCGGCCAGATCCGGCCGGTGTTTCCTCTATTTGATCAGACTCTGCTATCAGGCAGTGAGTACGATGAAGGAAGACGCCGGTTGCCGATTTCTGCTCAGGTGGATAAGGTTTTCATTGAATCGCCTCGACTATCTCCGTCGTCAGGAAATGAAGAGACCGACGGAATGGCTACGGGAACGTTCTGCTCTTTGTCAAAAGAGTCGGACAACGGCACGAAGGAAATGAATCTGAAGAGCAACTCCACCGGATTCTCGAAGCTGTGGAGATTCAGAGACAAAATGAATCGGAGCAACAGCGATGGGCGTGACGCATTCGTCTTCCTAGATGGTCCCGATCGCACAACAACGTCGGAGTCAAAAGCCGACGCCTTCGACCGATCAAATGTCAAAGTCAACGCCGCCGGAAAGGAAAAAGTTGTTAAAAAGGTATCGAAGGCAAAAAAGGGAACTGCATCAGCACATGAGGTGTACTTGAAGCAAAAAGTAGGGCAGACGGAAGAAGAACGGCGGCGGTCGTACCTACCCTACCGGCCGGGAGTAATGGGGTTTTTCACGAATGTGAACGGTGGTTTAAGCAAAAATGTGCACCCCTTCTAATTTAATTAAGGTCTTGGATGATGAAGTTTGTTGGTAATTTGGATGTGTAATGTTATTAAAATTGAAATGCATTTGTTAATTTGATTTGGTTGACTGTTTTTGTTTAGAAGCCATGATCAAATTTAGGGGCAACCGATGGCTTTGTGAGGAAGCTGCTTCTGCTTGTATAATTTATAATTACGTGACAGATTTCTTTTTATCAAAAAAGATATTGGGTAGAATGGAGTTGACAAAAAGGATATTAATGATTATGTTTCATTTTCATAGTTGATTAATTTATGTAACCAAAGTTATTAAAAAGCTGTAAAATTGGTCTTTATGCTAAAGTAGATTGGCTTTAAAAAGTTTTCGATTTCCATGGAAAAAGTCCGAAAATTCTTTTGGTTTTGGTTCTAAATTACTTGAAACGACTGACTTATCCACTTATTTGTTTTTTTTTTGTTTTTAAATATAATTTTAGTATTTTAATTTCTTTTGAATATTATTTTAGTGCTTTTAATTTTTATAAAATTTTCCCCTTGTCTTGGTTATGTTTATTTAGAACAACCCATTAAACGACTGTTTTCAATTTAGGACTTAATTCATGCATAGCTTTTGAATTATGTACTATGTAGGCTTCGATTCATGGTCGTATATATTAAATAGTTTACACACCATGTTTGTATCTTATTATATAATAATATCAAGTTTTGATTGCTTTACGAATTATTTGAAGGTATAATATCAACCTGCGTATCTTTTCTTGACCATCAACAATCGTACATTGACATTATTTAACAAGTTATGGTAACTGATATTTTAGATACAGTTTTAGTGGCACTGATCCAATAATTTTTTTTCTTTGGTGCCTAGCGATTAATTATATGCCCGTGTCGTGTTTAAAACGAGGTGAAAATGGTTTAAAAGTCGCAAACAATTTACAAGCATCTGGAAAATTTCAAATAAGCGATAAATTGGAAAAACAAAAGTTAGCATTGAGGCCCATTAGTATATACACTAACCCAACAAATAATCATAATCAGCTATATATAAAAGGATCAAAAAGTAGCCCAAGGACTTTTGTAGTTTGGTATCCTTTTCTTTTGCTAAGTATTTTTGAGTATTTGAGTTGTGTGAAGCCGTGAAGGGCCGCTACATAAAATTTATCAAGATTAAAACAGTTCTTCAAGTTTCAGTTTTCAAAACCCATTGAGGCCCTCTACACCTATCCCTAACATACAAATTACATTACATTGTACTAGATTAAAACCAGTTTTAGTACAATAAATGATATCTTTGTATCATTATTATTTTTTTAAATTGTTGTTGAGACGTGTATTTGGAGGCTTCCCAAAAAAATGTTTTGATCCCTAAAACGACCCCAATAACCAGAAATAACTTCTATATATATTTAAAGGTACAAAAATGTGGTGCTGATCCATTAAACGACCACAAATGGTCAAAAAAGGCATTACCTCATGGCCAAGCGAGCGTTTTATTTATTCGGCAAAAGTTCGAATAGAGAATGTTTGACAAAAAATACAGCAAAAGTTACCCATATGTTTTATTATCCGGTTTTCAAACTGGTTTTTTCCAATGCGGTTTTAATCCCATCTGTAACTTGTTATATAGAATCAGACATTTTACTATGAAGACATGTTGGTGCAACAAGGTAACGAGGATCTTTTTATTCCTCATTTCCGTGATTCTGGTGGACCAATCAACCCTTTCAGCTAGACCAATGGGCCACAAGCCCACAACAGTACTGCTGCGTATTGGGCTTTTGACAACCTGTCTTTTCCTGAAATTTACGTATCTATTGACTATTATTATTTCAGATTCAGTTTGGTGCGTTGAAATCGCTTGATGTGAATCAAAGATTTTTACCTTCTCATATGGATGTACACTCTGACATCGATAGTGGAAACACATAATCAATCAATCTTCTTCGTGTGAATATTATTTACATGTATGGCGATTGTTTTTGAATCCAATTTAGTATTAACTTTGTAGTTGGTTTATTCCAGCACCTTCTCAAGAGCCCCCTCTCCTTGCACCACCATCAACCGAAATTGTAGCCTTGGATACTGAATCTAAAGTAACAACCTTATACCAAGTTGGTATGAATCGCAATTTAATCAATAACAACATATACACAAATAAATATATTTACAGGAGCTTTTGTAATTTACCGCACTTGGAAAGCTTTATGTTAATTAACAGTTTCACACCAAAAGAGCTTTTATTATTAATGACGTAAATCAAATACTTCTAGTCTGAGATTAGGGTTAAGATATATATTGGAGCAGTCTTCATAAATGGAAGCTCCATTGAGAGGTTCTGAATGGGTGTGAAATCCAGTCTCTTGGCACTCCCTCACAATTTTCATCCCATCAGGGTCGGATAATCGAAAATACCCGTAACTCCTTACATGCAATACAGTAAATGAGATCCAATTTGTAAAAACTTTAATGTGGAAAACACAAAAACCTCAAATAAGGACCAAAAAAGCAAGAGAATTGTTTTTTGGATCAAATTTGAAGAAATCAGCTACACAATAATGTAATTTACACTAAATTAACAATCACATCTGTTGATGGATACCAAAATAAATGTAGGGGAAGGCATACCTTGATGTATCTGTGGGAGCCATGACAATAGCAACTGCCTCTGGTACCATCACCTGCAGAGAGTAAATAAATAAATAAATACGAATACTGATTTTTTTTTTCATTTATCTTATTTATTTGTAACATATACCTGATAAGAATATTGTGTATGTAGATCAACTGATGACATAAAACAACTCTGGGAAGGATGTGTCTGAAAATTAAAGAAAAAAATAGCATATAATTTATCAAGAAAACATCTAGTATAAAGAAAAATAATAATAATTGTATTCATACATGGATCCATCCAACAGGGAAAAGGGATTGTTCATTTTGAATGGCAAATATTTCCTCTTCATTAACAGCCTGACACTATCAATAAGCAAAACAATATAAAGTCTCACATATATGAAGAAAACACTATAAAAAAAATAAAAATTAAACGCACTTTTTTTTTTTGACTTACTGTGCTAGAAGTAGAATCTTGTTTTGGTATTATAAGAGTTGTTACATAATAGGTCCCTTCTTTCTGGAAGCAAAAATGGATACAGATACTCAGTTCCATAAAATTACTTTGACCATAAAAAATGGTCAAACTTCAAAGATAAAAGATCTTACAAGAAAGGCCCCAAGAACGCCACATGTCTCCAGATCCTTGCTTGTGTTATCTTCCGCAAGATCAAGAAAGCCATCTAGCAACTGTGTCGACTAAAAGGATAAATTTTTTTAAAGGTTAATAACTTCATTGGGTCCCACAAGTAAGTAAACTGGAAGTGTAAAAATCTTACTAAGTGAACATCTTTGAGGACTCTAGATGTTGTTGACTCGTTGACCAGACTTGTGATTCGTGAAACTTCTGCTGCTCCATGTGGTGGTGCATTGTGTATGCAGGAGATTATAGAAGAAGGGTAAGAGTGTGTAACTTTGAAAAAATTAGGCTGCATGAGACCTAATTTGTTCATTATGATGTTGGCTGCTAGTGATAAGTGGGAATCTTAGATGCATGAGCTCATGTCAAGGTTTACATCTTAGATATGTGCATTTCTGTAAACAAAACAAACATACATCTGATCTGAGTTCTTGTGAAGAAGTTCTAAAAGTACGACACTAATGAGAACCATTTGAATGTTCTTTGATTAAACGTGTTATTGTTCAAACAAAGATAGAGGTGAAATTCTTCAGAATAGGAAAATGGATTCAAAAGTTTTTCATGAGCCATAGATAAGAAAGATCATATTGACCTAAACACGAGTGGCTTACTGTCGCCCAATTCATTTTTGAACCAATTACAGCCTCGGGAGAGGAGATAATTCATAGTTTCTGGAGAAAACCTAAGTAGACGAAAGGTCTGTTTAGAAAAATAGGGATCTCTTGGATCAAAAACTATCAAGGTTAGCATCGAAGGGGACTTGAAAGGGGATTATATTGTAAGTATAAGCCGATTATCCTGTAACCTTTTCAATAATAGTGGATAGCCATTCTCCGGGTGCTTGTTCTTTTGTTAGATTATGTATTTAGTTAGTTGAGACTTGTGATTACAGTGGAAAATTTGTTGAAAGTACTCATAAATTCAACAGTAAGACAGGGCAAATCTTATCCCGTGGATCATTGATAGGAGCCAAAGGAATTTGACTACGTTTTTCCTTAATCTTTGGCGTTAACTTATCTTACGTATACACTTAACGATTCATTCTTCCATTAACACCAGGCCGATTACGAATATGAAAGGGAAAACCCTACAAAATTCTTACAGGCAAATAAAAACAATGAACAAAAATCAAATCAGACACACCAGAAACTTGTTGTGCTTGTGCTCAATATTGAATTAAAGTATGAATTACATATCATCTGAAGAACTCCAAATAACAAATTGATCATGGAAATATGTGCTCACCGACCTGAGGGAGAACGTTGCAGCGAAAGCGAGGAACCTTTTGGTGATCTCGAACAATCTACCTAAGTTGCATCGATCTTTTTGCCCAACTTGTCAATTTGATGCGTCCTTCTTTCTTCATCGTGTACTTATCTCTTTCGATCTGTGTGTGCCCCATTATTGGGAATAAACAGTCAAAAATATTCCCACCCGCCAAATTCAGCAAACGAATGATAGCAGAAACTGTAGAATAATACCTAATTACGAAATAGCCCCTCATTGGTTTGTGACTATTCAAGTGGATTAAGAGGATGTCTCCTGAGTTTTTTTTTTTTTTTTTTAATTAGAAAAGTGTTTTTAGATAAAAGTATTTATTTGCTTATAATGGTGGTAAAAAGAGTTTTTTAAAAAATGTTTCGATAAACTTTTATAGTGAAAAAGTCAATAAGTTAATAAGTTAAAAAGTGTTTGGCTTAAAAAGTTATTTTGGCTGAAAAATCATAAACAGTTTCAAAAAATTACGTTTTACATGCTTATTAAAAAGTGTTTATCCAAAATTATGGAAAAGCTATTCTGAAAAGTGTTTTTGATTTTGCCAAACACTTTTTTTGACTTATTACCTTTTCAAAAAGTCAATAAACAAATAAACATTTTTCAAACGTAATCCCAAACACTCCTTAAGATCAACTGCATCTTTCAAATTTCACTCAAACGATAAGCAGTTTCTATTCTAATTACGAAATAGCCCTTCATAGATTCACAATTCCTCAAATGAGTTGAAGGTCAAACCTGGCATTCGCTCATCAATCAACAAAAATGTAATTATTCTTTAAAAAAAAAACAAAAAACAAAAAACAAAAAACAAAAACAAAAACAAAAATGTAATTAGGCAAAATAAAATATTATTATTTATTTAATTTGATCACTAAATTTTTATACAATAAGTAATTAAACTTATAAGTTATCTTTTAATGGATACATGATTATGAAACCTACGTGGAAGCATAACTTTTCGAAGAAATTCAATTACCTATTGTATAAAAAAAATAGTTTAGTGACCAAACAAGGACGGATACATGATTTCGTAGTAGGTGTTGCCGGTGACACATTTTTTCTTTTACGTAGTGGCACAAATGTAGAAAAAACGAAAAATTCAAAATTTTTTACACTGTATCCGAAAAAATAAAGGGGATATCGGTGCCACTATGGGCACCATAGTGGAACTGTCCCTGTGACCAACTCGAGTAAATGACAATAGGTGATTATGTTACAGTGACATTTTTATTTTTTATATTTTATCTTTTTAATAACATTAATTAGAATAAACTCTACCCATATAATCTTAATCTTCTTCTCTTTTCATGAACGAGACCTTTATCAGGAGTCAAATCAACACCACTTTTATATTTCCTTTCATCTGTTTATCCCTTCTAACAGGTTGTACACGGACGGAGACATCTATCCCGTTACCGGTTGGAGCAAAGTATGTTGACGTCATTATCGACACGAGCGAAGACCTAATATTCTTCTTTCTCTTTTTCATGAATGAGACCTTCAACAAGAGTCAGACCAACACTACTTTTTCTATTTCATTTCGTCCATTCTTCCCTTCTAACCGGTGGTACATGAACGAAGACATCTTTTCTATTACCGATAGGAGCAAAGTACATCGTTGTTGTTACTGGTATGAGCAAAAGACGTCTTTCTCTCTCCCCCCTTCTCTAGCAACACACTGACATAGGGGCGATTCAACCACGACATCCTCTACGTTAAATGTATAAGCCAAAACCTGATTCCGCTCAACGTCAGTGTTGATGTCCTGATCTAAATGTTGGACATAGGTTCCGATTTGCATAACTCGTTTGTCCAAAATTTGATTTTGAACATTTCCGAAGTATATTCGTCTATATGTGAGAGATAGAGAGATGGGTTGAATGTGTGACCCGTAATTTAAATATAAAACAAATAGAAAAAAGTATAAAAAATGATGGATGAGTAATGGCATGACCTATTGCCACATAAGCTTCCTCGGTGCGTCACACTTCCAAGTAGGCTCGGTTACCGGGAATCTTTAAAAACTAACAAAAATGACTCAACTTGAAAAAACTTGTAAGTTTAATGACCTATTATGCAAAAATAATGGTAACTAAATCGGGTAAATGAAAATAATTAATTGTGCGGCAATGATATTTTTCTAAAGAAAAATATTATGACGTGGCCATAGTGGTAGAAGTCAGCCGATCATGTAGCATCGATAATTGGGGATCCGTTAAAAATTAACGAATGTGACTTAATTGATATGTAACTTGTAAGTTTAATGATCTATTGCTAAAAAAATAGTTAAGTGACCAATATGGTAAATGCAATAATTGATTGTGTTATAGCGACATTTTTCTTAATTACTAAATATGCTTTTTTTACACGATAAATTTAAACAACTCCTAAACTAATCATATTTCCACATGTGTCTTATACGGAATTTGAACTTTCAATCTTAAAGGAAAAACATCACCTGATACCAATAGAATATAAATCATTTGATAATTACTTAAGGAGGCGATATCGGTTTTTATCCATTTACTTAAAGATATGTTTTGACTTTTATATTCTAATCATACATTTCTAAGAGAAAATATATGTGAATTGGTATGTATATATATATATATATATATATATATATATATATATATATATATATATATATATATATATATATATATATATATATATAATTGAGTGATTGTACTTTGAAAGGTTTACAAAAATGAGACAAAATAATAGTATGTTAAACCCTTTAATCTTGTTTAAGGTACTTGACTAATATTGGCAGCATCTTTTGGCTCAAAATCGAACACTTCATTCACACAGGATGTAATCTCGTGTGTTATTATCCTTACCAAATGGACCTTCTAAAATTCAATAATAAGAGAATTTACAAATAAATTCAAGTTAAACTAAAACTTATTTAAATAAAAATGAGGTCTAACATTTAAACTTTAGTCTTTTGGATAAAAACATTCCATAACCAACTAAAATACCCCTTATTATCCTTACCAAGTCCACTTGCCATTTCAAATAGATTACCACGCTAAAGCATGAAAAATATGATGTTTGATATTTAAAAAAAAAAGCAAAATAAGTTAGAACCCAAAGAAATCACTCGCTTATCTAATGTATCACTCCAAATCAATATACAAATCAAATAAAGAGCTTGAAACACACGAATTAAGCAACGAATTTAGGTTTCCTATATACCTTAGTAACATCACGCTTGAGCTTATTGACTGTTTCCAACAACGCATTCTCTCTCAACAAATTTTCCTAACATAACAAACCAAACTTATTAAAGGACAAAACCCAAAAATTCCCTTCACATGAATTAACTTAACATGCGTGTGATTTAAAGGTGTTAGCAAAGGTGGTTTTAGGGGGAAAAGTGCTACCGAAGGCGATTTTAGGGGCATAGTGGCCACATTACATGAACTTAAAAAGGGTAAAATCATAAACGGGTAAAAGGGTAAACCACTTGTAAAAGGATAGAAGTATAAAATCAAAAATGGGTAAAAAGGGTAAAAAGGTAAAGTCATGTGTAAGGGTAAAAGGTAAAGTCACTTGTAAATTAGTGGCTTGTGATGTATTTGAAGCTTCATCTAGTATAAATAGTAGCCAGACTTTTTCTACAAACAATCATAAAACATAATTAAAAAAGAGGAGTAAATGCAAAAAAAAAAAAAAAAAAAATAGCAACATACATCCATTTGTGATTATTAATTTATTATGTCATTATAGTTTCAATTTTTATTTTTCATTTAACCTTCAAAAATCATACATTTTCAAGGAAAGAACATAAAAGGACTCACAATCAATATATTTTCAAAGACGTCTAAACAACCTTGGTTGTCCACAAAGTCTACATTTTTCCAGTCATTACCCTCCGATTCATATTCCTAAGAAATATATTAGAAATTACATAATTTCTAAAAAAAATAGCCCTTTGATTCTCTCGCCTTTTGTTCAAGCTTTAAATATATATTGAACAAAGTGCTACTCAAGCCTCTCATTAGCATAGTTTATAAGCAACTGATCAAAGTTTTTTTCGAAAATTCAAATGAGTTCTATAAAATATAAATTGAAGTTTCTATTATAAGATTAATAAATAAAAAAACTATATAATATACCTGAAATGACTCAAAGCCATAGATGTCCAAAATGCGTATAGACCTACTAATGCCCCCCTTCAGTGATTGATTAGTTATGTAGGGACAATTAAACACATGGAATGAATTTGTTGTAATTTAGAAAAATTTGTTGTAAAAAAGACGACAACACATGGAAAATGGAGATTTTTTTAGGAAAAATATATAAAAGTTAGAACCTAATGGGGACAGTTCATCAAAGCTTGGACAACAAGGTCCCCGACTCTAGCTTCCATGGGTAAAATAAGTTTAGCATTTTATACATGGCGTGTCAAAGTTAAGTAAATAAACTACCTTCTGTTAATCTTTATCCATACTCAAATTGTAATCCACTATTGTTGTGATATATCGGAGATGGTTGGATTGCAGTTGTAGATGAGTTCCGTGTAGGTTCCTTCTCCTGATATCACAATACAAAAGAGAAAGATGATCGTTAGTCGACGTCCGGAAGGAATTCCTGGGACGAAGCTTCGACGATCAAGTTAGAATGAAGTCTAAAAGAAATGAGAGTAAATCACATAAAAAAGAGTTCCATCCCCTTCTTCGTGAGGAAGAAGGATCATTTTATACCTGTTAAGAGGTGTATGCCCCTTAACTGATTATGTTGAGCATCCCCTCGTGGTGTGCGACATGGCAGACCCATATTGAAGGATCCTCTGTTACGTCTTTTTGCCTCATCCCCTCATTGGTTAAAGGAGAATCTTTTGATTTTATGATGATCGTGGCTATCGTCAGATAGGCAAGTGGAACACTCTGATTGGTCCCACGTTTGCCAGGGTGTTTTAAATCTCATCTTTTGATGAATTAGAGATATGATCTTGAGGAATTTGATTTTCGGTGCAAAATTGAAAAGGCGGGTTTGTCGATGCCTTCATCAAGCGATTGGGAAAGGGTTAGGAATGTATGTCATTTTTTAAAACCTTTTCGTGATGTTACTTTGAGGATTTTCGGGACACTTTATGTGACATCAAACACGTGCATTGAATATATATATATATATATATATATATATATATATATATATATATTCCATTCGTACGCTGTTGGATGATGTTATTTCCGATTCTAGTCTTTGTGATATTGCATTGACCATGAAAATAAAGTTTGATAAGTATTTTGGCGACATAGAAAAAAATGAATTTATTGCTC